GGGGGCGATGGGGGTGCCGCCCAGGCGATTCGCCCACGTCGGGTTCGCGGGCCGAGGAGGGGAGGCGCGCGGCGTCGGGCTGCGCGGGTGCGAGGTGGAGTCGCCCGAGGGACCGCGACGCATCGGGGGGGAGTTCAGCGCGCGGGCGTAGAGGTGGTAGGGCCGGGGGGAATCCGGCGCGAGGGGGTCCATCGCCCGCCCCATCCCAAATAGCTCCAGATTCCCACCCCCCGCGCAGTTCCCGATCGCGACCTCCTGAAGAGGAAGGACGTGCATGGTGGTGGAGACGCACCTAGCACACGAATTGGGATCCCGCTCGCTTGAAATCCCTTCCCTCCCTTCCACCCGCGCGGCGGTTAGCGAGTTCACCTCGAGATCGAAGGAATTTACCCTGGAGAAGGGGGTGCGCGAGGTCGGCCGGGCCGTCGAGCTCACTTGACTGAATTCGAGACCTTTTTCCAAATTCCCGCGGAGGGTTGTTTGGTTTGCTGTCATCCCCACTATTGACGGCATCGTTTGCGAATCCTCCAGCTCTAAAGAATGATTTTGACTTGCTACGATGGAAATGAGACTGGTGGAGCGACTGGAGGACGCCTCCAGGCAAAACTCCCCATGAGGTTCACATCCTTTTATACTATTACTACGCGTAAGCGATGTGTGTTCGAGGCTATGACACCTTTCACTACTGCTTCGCATCGCTTTCGAGTCTCTACGAATATGATTCACCTTTTCATACGATTTCCTAACAACACCAACTCTTAGATTTTCAAAATTCATATCTATATTTCTGATCTCCTCAAAGAAATATTTTAAATGAGATAAGAAAAAAAATGTACAAAATAATAACCAAAAGGAAAATATACGAAAAAAATCACTAAAAGTATAATCCAATGAAATAAAGGAAGTGCTGTTAAACTATTGTGCTACACATACTTTTTCCTTGAGGTATATGGTTCAGAAATTGAATAAGAAAAGAGAACATTGAAGAGCAAAGACGATGTTTTTGTGTGACGTTCTTTAACGTCCAAGCCTTTCTCCTCCTCTCCCATTTCCTGTTAACGATCACCTCTCAATCCGAAAGGAGAATCCTAGCGTTCATGTCTCCCCTCTGTTTCGATATTCATTCACACCTCACCCCAGCAACTTTCAACGTGGTGGCTTTAATTGTTCTTTTCGCTCCCGCCACCACTCCTCCAGGTGTTTGGTCTCTCGTCGTCGGAGCAGATCCACCGCATCCTGCCCGAGCGTGGTATGGTCGGGGACGGAAAAAAGGCGATATTCGTGCAGCTTCGCCGCGGGGGGCCCGACCCCGTCTTTTTTAAATTTTCCCTTCCAAAACTGGAGGTTGGACTCCATATCGGTCTGCGTGTGGGGGCGCACGTTGCGCGTCCATCGCTCGTGGAGGGCCGCGGAGTGGGCCTCCGGGATCTCAGTCTGTCGGCGAACGCGGGCCTCGATCGTCTCCTCCTCCGCCCGCACCTGCGCGGCGTATTGGGTGCTGTAGTACTCCCACTCCG